CTGCTGCTGCTGCTGCTACGACTACGACTACGACTACGACTACGACTACCACTACGACTACGACTACGACTACGACTACGAGCACGACTACGACGACGACCAAATTGTTACTGTTGACACTGTTGCTACCACGATTGTTATTAAACTCTGAATTCTGAACGCGAACTTCTTCAGGAAGAGATGGCGATGTCGTAGCCCTGAAGCACTCAGCACTCCACGGCCCTCCAACAACGGTTTAGGGTTTAGGATTTAGGGTTTAGGGCTTCGGGGCCTCAATAATAAGTAGCTTACTGGAATACTAGAGTTTCGGAGTGCATTGTACTGTTTGTAGAAACCCCAATGGGATGATATATTCTGCTAGCAGCGCACGGCAAAGGAGTTTGGGTGTCCTTCTGGGTACCGCCAGTTCAAGGGGGTAAAAACAAGCGTGGCCCTAAACCCTAAACCCTAAACCCTAAACCCTAAACCCTAAACCCCTAAACCCTAAACCCTAAACCCTAAACCCAATGGCTCTGAAACTCGCTAGTACTTCGGGGAATGCACTTGCCCGTGGTCCTGGGTCCGCCAGTAACGTAGGAGCCTTCATAATTAGAATAGGGTTTTGGGGCCATTATGCTATTATTATATTAGGGAACCCCCAAAATAGTATATAGGTTCTACTATCATTATAATAAGGAGCCCCCCAAAATAATATATAGGTAACTAGTAACTATTAAGGCCTCTATACTACTTCGTGGAAAGCCTTCCGGCCCTGGTCCCAAATCTAAATCCCGCGTGTATCTGGGCAAAGCAGTGTGGCCGTGTCCTTGGCGGTGCCCTAATATAGGGGCCTTAATAATTACCTTTTCTATTTTGAGGTTCCTTTTTATAAGTATAGTATAAAGGCCCCAAAACCCTATTTTAGTTATTAACCTTGATGTCTCCTGATGGTCTCCTGGCGGTCCCCGGTGGTTTCTTGATGGCCCGGGAAGTGGTCGTCGCAGTGTGTTTCTTATTGTCTGTGGATTTATGCTGGTAGAACTTAGGTTTTAGAGGAGTCTTGATACCCCAAAGCCTTGCATCGTCAGGAGAGTTGGCGAGAGAGCAATCACAGTCACGGCCTCACCCTGTGGCTACAAATACGGCTGCGATAATGACAAGAATAATAGCAGCAACAAGTAGAAGAACAAGAACAATGCTTGCTTAGTGTAGTGACGACCTAGCAGAATGCCACTTTCCGTACACCCTAAACCATAAAACTTTGCCTGGGCTAAGGTTTTGGGGGTTTGGATCTCAATGAGCAGAGTAGGGTGTCATAGCAGCATAGATATACACAGACTACAAGGGGATGCTATTCTACTACGTATTCCGAGCCCGATATCAACACAGGATTTCGAACCCCGGATTCCGAAGCTCCGGAGCGAAGCCCTCAAACCTGGATCAGTCTTTGGGTTTTGGGTTTAGGGTTTAGGGTTTAGGGTTTAGGGTTTAGGGTTTAGGGTTTAGGGTTTAGGGTTTAGGGTGTAGGATTTGGAGCTGAGGGACCACTTAGCGCGAAAAAGTACCAAGGTACCTTCCTGTCACTGCCCCACATGTACAGGAGCCGCGTCGTCTCCGCAAATCCCCTGGGCTTGTTCTACCATGATGTGCGACGGACGGTGACATGGTTTTGGCCGGGCACTAGCAGAGGGATTTTAGGTTTACGCTTACATCCATGTGTGTGTGTGTGTCAAATCGACAGTATACGAAAATTAACCCCAATAGCTCATCAATAGCAAAGAGGGAAACTGTTGGCAGCATGCTGTTGTTGCTGCTTCAGCAAAAAAAGCAGCAGCACATGCAAGCAGACGCAGCAGCAGGCTGCAGCACCGCCACCACCACCCCGACCACCGCATGCCACAACAGCTGCTGCTGCTGCTTTCAGGCGAGGTGGATGCGCGAATGTAAGCACTCTAGCTAGAAGCATAGTGACGGCCAGAAACCGTGCAACGACATTGATGACAACCGTGACATGAAGAAGCAAGGCTCCTTTCCACCAGAAGCTTGTGGATCTTCTTGCCCTGCAGAGAAGATCATGCAAGACTCTGTCACGAGGTTGGGAGAAACACATGCTGAGGGTTTGGAAACTCGATTTTCGACCCGAAACTCGGCCCGCCAAACTCGAAAACCAAAACCCTAAAAATCGGGTTTAGGGCTCTTCGGGCTTACGGCTTTGCGGGTTAGGGTTCGAGGATCATCGACCCAAATGCCTAAACCCTGAGCCCGAACCCACAAAAACCTAAACTCTAAACCTTACCCACTAGTGACCCGAATGCCTTCAACGGCGAATCACGGCCCGTCAAGTCCTGCCTCGCCCCCAAGTGCTGAATTTCGGTTTTGGGTTTTGGGTTTCGGGTTCAGGGTTTTGGGGTTTGGGGTTCAGGGTTCTGGGGTTCAGGGTTTAGG